ACAGTTGTACATCATTACATTATAAGCTGCCACAGTTGTACATCATTACATTATAAGCTGCCACAGTTGTACATCATTACATTATAAGCTGCCACAGTTGTACATCATTACATTATAAGCTGCCACAGTTGTACATCATTACATTATAAGCTGCCACAGTTGTACATCATTACATTATAAGCTGCCACAGTTGTACATCATTACATTATAAGCTGCCACAGTTGTACATCATTACATTATAAGCTGCCACAGTTGTACATCATTACATTATAAGCTGCCACAGTTGTACATCATTACATTATAAGCTGCCACAGTTGTACATCATTACATTATAAGCTGTACACTTGTTAATTGCTATTATGTTAAATGCTACACTGATAAACAGTAACTTATCATGTTCAATGTTAAATGGTTTCAAGTTCAATGTATCAGCTTATCAGAATTAACATTAAATGATAGCAATAGTAAAAATGACCTTTGCAATAGATTTTCTGTAATGACAGCATCATTGTATTGATTACTCAGCTATCCAAATTTATTGGATGTGTTATTGAACAAATTTTCCATGAAGTTAAAAGTGTTAAAATATGTGTTTACATTAAATATTTATCACAGTAAATATGCGTTGACCTCTATCACAATCAGTATATGTGTACTTCTTTTGTGTGAAATAATATGTGTGGTTAATGTGATAGCGTTTAATGTGATAAGTAGGTAGTTTAACATATTTATGCTTTAACACTTTCTTTTTGAACATGTTTATGTGTTAGTTGATTTTTGACAGACTTGCTAACCATTTTGTCATCCTTCTGTGATTAAAACATAGGTTACCCGGTAATTGGAAAGCAATATAATGATGTCTATTTCATTGGTGCGTAGAGTGAATCACCATCCTTGCATATCTGCTGTCGAATGCAAAGGTTTCTTTCTCTTTTGTTTTGTCCATTTGTCATCACATGTAAACTCACTCCATTTTGCAATGTTTAAATGTTTTTGTTTGATAGAAATTTGATATAAAACTCCACATAAAATACAACATATTTCTTTGCTGTTTCAATTCTGCCATTCTCTACAGTATTTGGTCAAAAGAAATTTTGTTATTTTAGGGTATTACTAATTTAACAGGAGTAAATTTTCTTAACATTGAAATTGACACTGGTTCAAATTACCATTCGTTTGATATTCTACTTCCTGTTTAATATATTTTACGGACAAAAGTTCCCCATAGGTACTAGTTGATGCCTTTATACATGTTCCTGATACTACTTTGACTAACACTTGCCATATGTCATATATTCTATGTAATGTTAACATGTTTGTGTTTTACATTTATTCTGTTATTTATTTCAAAAGTTCATTAGAAATTATTTGTTCTGTCATGTTAAATATTTGAGATTAAAAAAAAATGTTTCTTTGTATATTTGTGCATTTGTAAATTTTGTTCTGAACTTTTTAATAGAATTATTCAGAAAAATATTAACTAAGTCATCAGTTTAAGGACCAAAGAGACTTGATAGTCAACTCAAATATTCAAGCTAAATCTAACAACCAAACACCTGCAAAACAGACAGTGCGTCCTGCCACTTCCTCCTACCGTAAACATGTGGAACAGAAAGTGCATTGTTCAACAACCTCCCACAGTGAACCTGTGGAACAGAAAGCTCATCCTTCAACTACGTCATAAAGTGAACATGTTGAACAGAAAGTGCATCCTTCTACTACGTCCTAAAGTGAACATATTGAGCAGAAAGTGAATCCTTTAACAACGTCCCAAAGTAAACCTGTGAACCAGACAGCGCATCCTTCAACTACATATCATAATGAACCTGTAGAACAGAAAGCGCATTCTTCATTACCTCCCACAGTTAAAAAATGTAACAGTCAGCAATCCTTCCTCTACAACCTACATTAACCCTTGGGAACAGAAAGCACATCATTCCACTTCATCCCACAGTAAACCTGTGGAACAGACGAGTCATCCTTCCACTACATCCCACAGTTAACCTTTAGAACAGACGAGCCATCCTCCCACTACATCCCACAGTTAACCTTTAGAACAGACGACCCATCATTTCATTACATCCCACAGTAAACCTGTGGAACAGACGAGTCATCCTTTCATTACATCCCACAGTAAATCTGTGGAACAGACGATCCATCCTTCCACTACATGCCACAGTAAACCTGTGGAACAGCCGAGCCATCCTTCCACTACATCCCACAGTAAACCTGTGGCACAGACGAGCGCATCCTTCCACTACATCCCACAGTAAACCTGTGGAACAGACGAGCGCATCCTTCCACTACATCTCACAGTAAACCTGTGGTACAGACGATCCATCCTTCCACTACATCCCACAGTAACCTGTGGAACAGACGAGCGCATCCTTCCACTACATCTCACAGTAAACCTGTGGAACAGACGATCCATCCTTCCACTACATCCCACAGTAAACCTGTGGAACAGACGAGCGCATCCTTCCACTACATCCCACAGTAAACCTGTGGAACAGACGAGCGCATCCTTCCACTACATCCCACAGTAAACCTGTGGAACAGACGAGCGCATCCTTCCACTACATCCCACAGTAAACCTGTGGAACAGACGAGCGCATCCTTCCACTACATCCCACAGTAAACCTGTGGAACAGACGAGCGCATCCTTCCACTACATCCCACAGTAAACCTGTGGAACAGACGAGCGCATCCTTCCACTACATCCCACAGTAAACCTGTGGAACAGACGAGCGCATCCTTCCACTACATCCCACAGTAAACCTGTGGAACAGACGAGCGCATCCTTCCACTACATCCCACAGTAAACCTGTGGAACAGACGAGCGCATCCTTCCACTACATCCCACAGTAAACCTGTGGAACAGACGAGCGCATCCTTCCACTACATCCCACAGTAAACCTGTGGAACAGACGAGCGCATCCTTCCACTACATCCCACAGTAAACCTGTGGAACAGACGAGCGCATCCTTCCACTACATCCCACAGTAAACCTGTGGAACAGACGAGCGCATCCTTCCACTACATCCCACAGTAAACCTGTGGAACAGACGAGCGCATCCTTCCACTACATCCCACAGTAAACCTGTGGAACAGACGAGCGCATCCTTCCACTACATCCCACAGTAAACCTGTGGAACAGACGAGCGCATCCTTCCACTACATCCCACAGTAAACCTGTGGAACAGACGAGCGCATCCTTCCACTACATCCCACAGTAAACCTGTGGAACAGACGAGCGCATCCTTCCACTACATCTCACAGTAAACCTGTGGAACAGACGATCCATCCTTCCACTACATCCCACAGTAAACCTGTGGAACAGACGAGCGCATCCTTCCACTACATCTCACAGTAAACCTGTGGAACAGACGATCCATCCTTCCACTACATGCCACAGTAAACCTGTGGAACAGACGAGCGCATCCTTCCACTACATGCCACAGTAAACCTGTGTAACAGACGATCCATCCTTCCACTACATGCCACAGTAAACCTGTGTAACAGACGATCCATCCTTCCACTACATGCCACAGTAAACCTGTGTAACAGACGATCCATCCTTCCACTACATGCCACAGTAAACCTGTGTAACAGACGATCCATCCTTCCACTACATGCCACAGTAAACCTGTGTAACAGACGATCCATCCTTCCACTACATGCCACAGTAAACCTGTGTAACAGACGATCCATCCTTCCACTACATGCCACAGTAAACCTGTGTAACAGACGATCCATCCTTCCACTACATGCCACAGTAAACCTGTGTAACAGACGATCCATCCTTCCACTACATGCCACAGTAAACCTGTGTAACAGACGATCCATCCTTCCACTACATGCCACAGTAAACCTGTGGAACAGTCGACAAGCGTATCCTTCCACTACATCCCACAGTGAACCTGTGGAACAGACGAGCCATCCTTCCACTACATCCCACAGTTAACCTTTAGAATAGACGATCCATCCACAGTAAAACTGCAGAACGGAAAGGACATCCTTTCACTTCGTCAAACAGTGGACCTGTGGAACAGAATGCATATGTCCACTTTATCCCACGGTAAACCTGCGGAACAGAAAACACATCCTTCCACTATCTTCCATGGTAAATCTGCAAAACGGAAGCACGTCCTTTCTGAGTAAATCTGAAGTACATATAAAGCATCCTTCCTCTTCGTCCCACAGATAACATGCGGAACAGACAGAGCATCCGCCAACTACGTCCCACAGAAAACCTGTGGAACAGATAGCATCCCTCCACTACGTCCACAGTAAACCTATTGAACACACCTCCACTCATCCCATAGTAAACCTACGGAGAACTACGTCACACAGTTAAATGGACTATCATCAACCAAGCGCAGCCGTCTAATGAACAGATGACAATGATCTTATCCCTCCTACAGCAGAAAAGTAACCTAATGAAGTTTTGATGTAGACAGCCATATGAAATCCGAACCAGATGGTTGGGAATCATTTGAGTTACATCCTACAAAGGTATTCAGCGAAGCCAATTTATACACCATGAACAACCTTAAGCCTGAAAGTAATTCTGATGACAGACTTACTGCAACAATCACCGACATCACTGAAGTCGTACAACGACTTCAAAACAGGAAGCCTTTTGTCATTGAGGTAGATTCAAATGCTATTTACCAAGAAATGATCAAGATAGCAGTGCGAAAATCATTTTATAAAACGTTTGTGACAACGACCTTATCCTTCCTCTCAAATTCAGTTATGTCTGTGTCCCATACCACGGAAACTATGCATCACATACCTCTTCCACACAAAGATCACTAATTGAATATATGTATGTAAAGGAGATAAACATCTGAGTGAAAATTACTAGTAATTCCTCTTATCATATTTATGTGTCACACTCTAGAGCCCGAAAGGAAGAGATAACAAAGCAGTGATTAACACGTCAAGTCTGTTAATGCATACCAACTGGGACCAGTGTTGATATGTACAACGTTGTTTTAAAGCCACACCAAGAAAATAAAACACCCGATACATATACATATGTATGCCAAAGTCTATTGCAGGAATACTCTCTGACGCAAGCACAGCAGCATGTTCTATTTGGCGACCAGCTTATAGATAGAATTGATGCAACATTATATGAAACTCTGAAATAAACAAAACAATAAAAAAAGTCAATCCATGCTCATCAGCTGTGAGAAAATATCTACCAACAGAGATCTACAAGAAGTAAGTTGCGGAATCTATTACTACACATCACAAGTAAGAAATGTCAACATTTTTATAACAGAGTTACGGAAGTGGATTAGCGAGACAATTACCCTTTAAAGTATCGTGTAGCAGACAGCTTACACTAGAATGGACATTTGTGTACTTCTCGGATCTGTGTAATAAAAATATTAGAAAATAACAATGCAACTAACAGATTTAAATTGACAAAAGCACTACATATGAACCATGCTGCAGATATACAACTCAAGATTTTTTATAACCATGTCATCTTCCAGATAAAACCAACTACAATTAAAAAAAGGATCTTGACTCCTGTTAAAAACAAATGTGAATACCCAAAGTTGACCACTAACTCTCGCAGTATCACAGCATGACTCCACAAAGATGACCTCCTCCAAGAATATTTCATTATTTATAGATGAAGCAATCATAGAAGCCAGTGTATAAAGCTGGAAAGTGTTTGCTAGAAGTGATACAAAATGTTAGTGTGGTATTAGATTTGTAGAAAACCTGACGTAAAATAAAGAACACACATGCCTGACATGTTTCTGGTTCATAGAAAAGAGTCTTGATATCTCACTGCATATATGTGCTGTAATCAAAGCAACTGGTTGTGACATATTAAATGATAAACGTCACAAATATCAGCATTCACCATCCCTCAGCACATAGCTGCATCATGTTTCTACTTGCCCGACATCTTAGCAAGAGCACAAATAACATGTTTCTCTCGTGCAGAAAAACGCCTGATGCATTCCTTTGACTACTTTTGCCAGAGGAAATGTGAAGTCCTACATACTAGTAACCTTGTATCAATCAATAACTGTTACAAATAAACGAATCTTTGATTTGATTACATAAGATTATGATTTACGTACATGTATAGTAAATAATGAAAAAAAAACACTTTTGACCAAGTTTATTGTTTTCCTTTGTAGTGCAGTAACACACCTAACACTCCTGAAATGCTCTAAAGAATCAAAGTGTCCATTTATTTGTATACCTGAGATATTTGAAACAGAATTTTCGGTGATAGTTGAAACTTTGTGCCCATAGCAATTGATATCAGATATCTCCGTGTTGATTTAAACTTGATGTCTTCGTTATTTTTGTTTATCGAACCTAGAAGTTTAACTGAAACAGAACGTAACCGTGACAAGTGGGGATGGACGTAATCAGTTTCGAAAACTCTAAATTATCATGAGAAACTATTTTTCAAAACAAAATGAAATGGCTGGCTTATGGATTAAGGTAAAATATAATCGGCTTCGTGAATAAAGTTCAATGACATCGAATTGGCGGCGGTAAATGGAATTGGGATATCCTGGTGTCCATCTGAAACATAGGGACATTTACAAGGAAGTGTCGTAAAATGGCAACAGGTCTTTACAGAAACATTTGACCTGTTTTGAAGTCGTGTATTGCTCCCAAAATATGTTAAATAGATTATTGTTCGATAACTTTCCGCAAGAAGTCCATTTGTAATTACAATGTTTCAATAAGAGGTGTAAAAAGTAGTACCTGCATTTTTACAATCACAATGTTTCCGCCATATCATTTCCTTCTATGTAGTCCGTAATAAAAAAAAAATGATGGGGCGGTGATCCTTTTTTTTTTCTTTCTTTATTTCGTATGATATTCAATAAAGAAAATTTTTACTGTTCCGTCGTACCTCAGTTTGATATCGAAAATGCACGTCTTAGTGTTTGTATTTGTTTGTATACTAATACTGGTTATACAACCGCATAGGGAGGATAGGTACCTTTTTCGGACTAATATTTCAAATCATAGGAACTTCACAGGTAGTTTTAAAATATCCTTGGGTTTTTATTTGTGAACCAGCACACATGAACACTTATGGGTGTTCTGGCGATGCGATAATTATGACTTTGAATGGAATCATGATTTATAGTGCAAGAAGACACCACCTGTACCTAATACCGAGGGACCATTCGAGGTGTCCTCTGTGTAAAGCGATATGACCCGAAGCAATTAGTTATTTACCTTGTCGTCCGAATGATAATGATATTTCCGATAATGATATATGTACAGCTTATACACGAAGTGATTTAAGGCCTCCTGGCAGTTATAACGGAAATAATGGCGAGATTTAAACGTTCTCGTCAGACTGTTTGGTAAGTTCGCAGTCGCTCTATATCACTATTGAATTTAAACCCATAAACAGTCTTGTAAATTGGTGTATAATGGTAGCGAGATTTACCGTAACATTACGACAGTAAGTCCAGTAAAATCTAACCAGCAGCTTGGCTATTTTATTGTATAGAGACACAATGGAACCAATTTGCATTGTAATATGCCTAGTTTATTCTACATGTAAGAGGGTTGTATTTACCTCCGTTGTAAATTTGGCACAGGTACAGGTAATGTTTTAAAGTGTGTCTCGGGACAGACCTTTACTTACCTGTTTAACTTACCTATCAGTACGATTTAATGTCAATTAATATTTGCTATACACCGATCACAACTTTGTGTTTAAATATAGTGTTATCAGCTATGTCTGGTTAGTAATCTTCGCTGTAGTATTGGTTAACTGTACAAACACTTTCTACTGTTTGTTTTTCTTCTCACTACCGTTTTTCTTTACGTGTATTAGCGTATACCCCGGACTGTCGGCCTTACTCTCTGAAGTCTACCTGTATGTACCTTCCCATTTGGTACACCGTTACAGGTGTGAAAGCAAGTTTCACTGGTCGGACGAAGTCGATGAAAAGTCACGATCTTCCATTTGCATTAACAGTGAAAGAGTGTGATTTTTTTCTGTGGAGATTTAATTCGTGAATACCCTTTTGAGTGAGAAAGTTTTGTATTGTGATTATCCTACATTGATGCCAAGGAATTCGTGTTCTAACAAGTGCCGAGCTTCCTTTTCATATTCTCCCAGTACTGGTGTATATATATGTAGGAGTTTGACACGTCTAAAGGTGGTGTATTACTTTACCAGAGGGCTGTTATATATGTCATGTTCAGATTGACAATTGATGCACTGCAATAATCAAGGACCTCTGCGATGTATTCCCTTTATGTGTATAGAGAATCATTGTGAATGAAGAAAAAAATATATTAATCAGCAGCAATGGGAAACTTAAAGTCAAAACTAAAACGGTCCAAAAGTAAATCCAGGAAAAGTGGCCATGTAAATTTACCTGATTCGAGTTCCTCCCGAAAAACAGTGGACCCACGACTACCCTTCGGTAACTATAGACAGGTGTTCAGTATCAGAAATGCATGGAAGAATGTGATGAGGACAATGGAAGACACCGCCAAAGATCACCTCATCAGGTAAGGTAACATGTAGCAGAACGATCAGGTAGTGATTTTTTTAGTGAGAAATTACACAGTCTGTTCATAACTTGTGCATGTTAGTAACTGTTTTTACTTTGTCGTTACTTCTATCTTCTATCTCCGATTATAATTACAACGTCTCTGCGATTCTCTAACGCCAGTGATCGGGTATCATTTTTTTTTTTTTAAATTGGAATTTAATTGATTATGTGTAAACTAGGCTTACTCAGTATGATGTGGTGGACTTGGAGGGATTAGGTTTAAACCATTATATGGTATCCCTTAATGCCTCACCTTGTCTAGTTATAAACTATTTGTTAATGTCATTTTATCCCATTGATTGTTTCGTACTCCCGTTGCAGGGGTGGACTTTAGAGTGTAAGTTACGAAATCTGTCGATGGATATTGTCCGCCTTGATCATGATTATAATGGTGGACGCCAGAAAGTCTGGAGTTGTACTTATTCTTAATCTGACTGATACCTTTACGAGAATAGTAATGACCACAGGAGATATAAGCATTGGTTAAGTCACCGTTACATATGAAGTACATCTTCTATATATGTTTAATAAGCTCCGTCTGAATGTTTCCAGAGTGTGTATGTTTAGGCGATTTGTTTATATTGATCACAAAAACTTCGTAGGTCAAGGTCATTTCTGACGTCACCAATGTCAATAACCTGTCATTAATCTTTATTAACATTATTCGTACTTATTATTTTGGTAATAACAACATACATCCTTACAAGTCAGACAATGAATATAATTTTCGATTAATTTCTATAAAAGTCAAAAAGTATAGCATTTGCGATTTTTATGTATTTTTGTCTCGTTTAATGATATCAACATTGATTTAAAGTGCCATGTATCAAGGTACCATCAATCAGCGGCGGTGATGAGGTAGTTGGATTTAGTTAGAGAAGATAACAGACTTTTTATGTTTGTGATAAAAACACGTGTATATATTTCTATTTATTTCTTCGAATGTTATATTTAGTTGGGTTTATTTTGGGAAGAAAACAAAGATTGTTGTATTGTATTTGTGAAAAAGACACATAAGACACATGTTTTTATTTCCTTGAAAGTAATAATAATAATAATAATAATAATTGGAGGTTCTTATATACCGCTATATCACATCCTAGTTCGTAGGTCGTCTCAAAGCGGTTCATACATTATTATCCGTAGTTATAGGGCCTTTGAAACCAGCCAATACATTTCTCAACTCCCTGGGGAGCATACAGCCGGTGATGCCATTTCGGCGCTAATAGCTAGCATTCAACAATTCTAGCACTGCCCAACCACGTACTCATTTACAGCTGAGTAGACTGGAACAAGCGGAGTAAAGTATTTTGCTCAAAGATACAACACATTGCCGTGCCATGTCACGAACCCGCAACCCTTCGGTCACGAGCCCGGCGTCCTACCACTGGCCTACCGTGCCTCTAAGAGGTAGTAATGTATAGTTAGATTAGAGAATATAACAAAGACGTTTTTGTGTCTGTATGAAAGACACATAAGACACGTGTATTTATTTCCATTAAAAGTAATACATCCCATCATGTTCCCTGTTACATAATTATATATAGGGAATTTGGTTTCTTTGACATGTTTAGTCTTCAAATGATGGGTGCTTAGTTCATATATTTGTTGTTTGTCGTACATCAAATAGCACTTAGTGTTATGATACTTAT